CCTAGTGAGAAACCCTGTCTCAAAAACCTTGTGGCAGAGGCTTATCCAATATGCAGCAGGCTGTGTTCCATGCCCAGTCCCACATAAAACAGGGCACAACAGTACATACCTGAAATCTCTTTTTTTAAAACATTTTTTTGTTTTATTTTTTGGTTTTTGTTTGTTTGTTTTTTTTTTTTTTTTTGTTTTCTGAGACAGGGTTTCTTTGTAGCTTTTGGAACTAGCTCTGTAGCTCAGACTGGCCATAAACTCACAGAGATCCACCTGACTCTGCCTCCTGAGTGCTGGGATTAAAGATGTGCGCCACCACTACCTGACAGTGTGTTTTGGGATTTTAAAAAATTTGTTTAACTTTATTTTATGTGCATTGGTATAAAGATGTCAGATCCCCTGGAACTGGAGTTATTGACAGTTGTGAGCTGTCATGTGGGTGCTGGGAAGTGAACTCAGGACCTCTGGAAGAACAGCCTGGGCTCTTAACTGCTGAGCTGTCTCTCCAGCCCTGTACCTGAAATCTTGGAACGTGTGGCATTGGAAGCAGAGGATAAGAAGTTCCTTGGGTATACAGTAAGTTCAAGACCAATCCAGGCTTCATGAGACCCTCTCACAAAAACAAAAGAAAACAAAGGTTTACAGGGTGGGGGTGGGCCATCTTCCTAAAGAACATGTATGCTTAGTCTCAGGCCTACACACACACACACACACACACACACACACTTGTTCATGTTCCACACACATACATATGCCCTCACAAAAAAGAAACAAAGGAACATTCCTAACTGTGCTATTTGAGAGAGAAGTCATCTAGTTCCCTAACAAGAAATCACCTAACAGCCCGTCCACTTGTAGAACAGACGGGTGAGGCACAGCAGGGTCACATAATGGAAAACCGCAAACAATAAAATGAACATCCTGCTTTTACGTACAGAATCACAAGAATCTCACACCAGTGTTGCTGAGCAGAGGAAGCCAGACATAAAATACAATATGAGGGCCGGCAATGTGGTTCAGCCGGTTAAAGGTGCTCGCCACAAAAGCCTGGCAACCAGAGGTCAATTCCTAGAACCTACATGGAAGCGCAAGGAGAGAACCGACTCCATAAAGTTGTTCAGATGCGGCAAGCCCTACTCCAGCAAACAAACCAATGTTTAAAATCTAAAAGCAGATCTACTGAATGATGCAGCAATTCCACTCCTGAGTACAGAAGCAGAGGAAATGAAAAGGGTGTCAGGAACACTTGTCTCCTGGGTTGTCTCATTGCAGCGCTGTTCACATTGGGCATGAAATGGAAGCCATGGGCGTGTTCATCCACAGGTTCAAGGATAAAAAGAAAATATGGTACGGAACAGACGCTATCCAGATACGGAAGAGAATGAAATCCCTCCAGCCATGTTGGCACAGGCCTTTGATCCTAGCCCTATGGATGAAGAGGCAGTCAGATCTCTGTGAGGTTGAGGCCAGCCCTGTTTACGTAGTGATTTCCAGGCTAGCCAGGGACATAGATGTATCAGTCCCTTTCTGTTGCTGTGATAAAATACCATGCCACCAAGGCAACCGACAGAAAAAAGAATTTACTGGGACTTAGGATTTCAGAGGGATAGGAATCCACGATGATAGTCCAGAGCTAAGAACTCACACCTTTTACACCCTATTTTATTTTATGTGTGTGGATGTTTTACCTGCCTGCCTACATGTCTGTTTACTGCAGATATGTATATGTCCAGTCCCAAGAGCCTTCATTATTTTTCTGTTTTGTTTTTGTTTTTTGAGACAGTTTCTCTGACTGTCCTGGAACTTGCTCTAGGTTGGCCTCAGGGATCCTCTGGTTCCTGCCCCTTGAGTGCTGGGGCTAGAAGTGTAAAACACCACACTTGGCTAAGAGTTTGAACTGCAGACAGGAAGCAGAGAGAGAAAATTGGGAATTGCACATGACTTTGAAACCTGAAAGTGATATACTTTCCCTAGCAAGGCCACCTCTCCTAAACCTCCCTTAAATAGTACCACCAACTGGGCACCAAGTATTCACACATCTGAGCCTATGGGGAATATTCTCATTCAAACCACATAGAAGACTGAAAATCTGCTGAGCAGTTAGGAGGTGGAGGCAGGAGGATCAGGCATTTAAGGGCATCCTCAGCTACAGAGTGAGTTCAAGGACAGCCTGGGCTATATAAGACTTTATCTCAAAGATAGATAGATAGATAGATAGATAGATAGATAGATAGATAGATAGATAGATGAATAAAAAATCCTTTCAATTTCAACAGTGTGGATGGAACCAGAGATCATTCATTATGTTGAATAAAACAAGCCAGATATATGTTGTAGGAACCACTTGTTCCCGGCTGCTCAACCCCAAAATAATCACACAGAAACTATATTAATTAAATCATTGCTTGGCCTATTAGCTCTAGCTTCCAATTAGCTATCTATAACATCTTAATTTAACCCATTTCTATTAATCTGTGCATCCCCACATTGCTGTGGCTTAACGGCAAAGTTCCATCTGGTGTCTGTCTTTGGCAGGGTTACATGGCTTCTCCTGACTCCGCCTTCTTTCTTCCAGCATTCAGTTTAGTTTTCCCCTAGCTCTGTTCTGCATTGCTATAGGCCTAAAGCAGTTTTTTTTCTTTTTTACTAATCTATGGTAGTCACAACATACAGAGGGGAATCCCACATCAGATATAGAAAGACAAGTACTACAAGATCTACTGATATGTGGAATCCTAACAAATGATTTCATCAAAGAAGAACAAGGAAGTGTAGTTCCTAGAGGTTAGGGAGGGAAGAGATGAGAAGAGAGGATGGGGAAAGGCTGGTCCAGGGGCTCTAGGGAACGCTTAACTAGGAGCAAGAAGTTCTGCTGTGATATTGCACAGTAGGATCCTACAGCTAACAATATACTTTACATTCCAAAAAACGAGGGGGAAAAGGAGCTTGGAAGTTTTCATCTTAAAGAAATGATAAATAGAATGTAGAAGCACGTGCCTGTGATGGAAGGCCTGGGGTGGTGGAGGCAGTAGAACCAAAAGTTCAAAGTCAAGGCCTGGAGAGATGGCTCAGGAGTTAAGAGCATTGACTGCTCTTCCACAGGATAGGACACAGGTTTGATTCCCAACACCTACATAGTAATTCATAACTGTCCTTAATTTTAGTTCCATGTCATATTCTGGCTGCACAGGTATTAGGCACACACACACACACACACACACACACACACACGGTGCACACATATACATACAGATAAAATACAATAAACTGGCCCCCCACCGCAAAAAAAGCCAGGTGTTGACACACACCTCTAATCCCAGCACTGGGAAGGCAGAGGAAGGTGGATCTCCATGAGTTCGAAACCAGCCTAGTCTACAGTGTCAATTCCAGGACAGCCAGAGCTGTTACACAGAGGAATACTGTCTCAAACAACAGCACCAACAACAAAACATTCAAAGTCGAACAGGGCTTCTTAGGAAGTTCCAAGCTAACCTGATCTATGTAAGATCCTGTTTCAAAATTTAAACTAAATAAACAACAAAGGATAAATGTTTGAGAAGATAGATACATCTGTACTGATTTACACATTATACAATGTAATGGGTAGAACTCCTGAACTTACAGAGAGTACTGGATATGTTTGTGAGTAAACCAAAGACACAGAAAATACAACGTATACTCATATATCATTACAGAATGGGGTGGGGTAGGAACTGAAAAGATGGCTCAGCAGTTAAGCGGTTAAGCGTGCTTACTGCCCTTTCAGAAAACACACATCTGGTATGACACAAACTCACAAAGGTGCGCGCACACGCACACACACACACAAATAAATAAATAAGCCCTTTAAAATTACATGGTACACATTAGGTTGTATTTTTTGCCTTATTTTGTTTTTCAAGACAGGATTTTTCTGTGTAGCCCTGACTGTCCTGGAACTTGTTCTGTAGACCAGGCTGGCCTTGAACTCAGAGAGGTCAGGTTGCCTCTGCCTTCTAAATGCTGGGCTTAAAGGTGTGCACCACCACCATCCACCCAACCTCTGTATGTTCTTATGTTCTTATATTCTTATGTATCAGGTTTCTTTGTTGTTGGGTTTTCTTTCCTTCCTTCCTTCCTTCTTTCCTTTCTTTCTTTCTTGGTTTTTGGATTTTGAGACAGGGTTTCTCTCTGTAGCCCTCGTGGTTCCAAAACTTAATCTGGTCTCAAACTCAGAGATCCACCTGCCTCTGCCTCCTGAGTGCTGGGATTAAAGTTGCATGCCACTATTACCTGGTTATGTATCAGTTTAAAAAAGAAATATTTATTCACTTGATCGCTATGTGTGTTTAACATTTATTTATCCTTGTTTTATATGTATGAGTGTTTGTCTGCTTATATGTTAGAGCACCATTGGGTGACTCGTGCCTAGGGAAGACAAAAGGGGTCATGGAATTCTCCGAAACTAGAGACAGCTGTGTGTCACCATGTGAGTGCTGGGAACCAAACCAGAAACAACAAATAATCTTAAAAACTAAACCATCAAGGCAGGTGGTGGTGGTGGTGGTGGTGGTGCATGCCTTTAATCCCAGCACTCAGGAGGCAGAGACAGGCAAATCTCTATGAGTTCGAGGCCAACCTGGTCTAGTTCCAGAACAGCTAGGACTGTTACACAGAGAAACCAAATTAAAAACAGCAGCAAAAACCTGAGCCATCTCGCCAGCCCCCACTGTATACATATTGTAAGATAGGGAGTTGCGTAGCCTAGGCTGATATCTAACTTGGTAAATAACCACAGGTGGCCTAGAATTCCTGATCTTCCTGCCCCCTATTCTCACCCTCCCTATGCTAGGATGACAGGAGTGAGTCATCATGTCTGGTTTTTATGAGGTTGTGCTGTATAGACCAGGGTGGCTTCAAATTCGTATCCTTTTACTTCTGCTTCTTCACAGGGGCTGGTCACCACACTGATCAAATACACACACACACGCACACACAACACACACACACACAC